TCAATATGATTTAAAAATATTGTAATGTGAATAATTTCAATTCTAATTTTATTAATGCCAAGTATGGCCTCTTTAGCCTCTCACATTGTTTTGGATAAGTATCAGAATTACGTGGTAAAAATAATAAAATATAATGTAAAAATAAGTACGAAAAAAGGGGAGTAATCACGGCGCCCTGCACTTCGAACAATGGTGTCACTAGACTCAATTTATGCCACCAAATCATTATTGAAAACACCGATGCAGCATGATCATTTGGTCATAGATGGAAACAACAACTTCGTCTTGGCCCGTTCTGATGGATTGGCGCTCCTGACATTTCGTCGCAGAGGAATCAGAGGAAGGGACCTCTCAACAGCGCTTCATTGGTCTCATGCACTTCTGATATGTATGAGAAAAAGTACCTCTCCGCATATCCAGATATGTTCCAAGGACTCTGGTTCCATCTGCCACATTCCTCGAGCTCTTTGATACGTACTGACGAGAGTTCCTCCCGCTCCGACAAATTCCGATTCGTGGAGCTCAATATGTAAATTGTAATCTTGGTATCCTGAAATTTCACACTTCGGAGGTCGACATCCGTTTGAGATATACAGTTTTCGTCTACGATTTACTATATTTTTGTCGGCAGTTCTTCATTTTTGTTTTTTTTTAATTTTCTCCTGGGCAGATGCTAGTTTCTCCAGAGCCTCTCTGTCCTCCTTTTGAAGCCTTGATAAATCTGAAGATCATTCAGAACTTGACTGAGTTGCGAGGTCATCCAACGTAACGTTCTTGGTCATTAATTTCGCGACTCACTGTTCCATGGTGCTCTTCAGTCTGGACAGCTCAGATTCCAACGTTACCTTAGTCATTGCCTTTGAGTTTTCTGCTTAGCCCTGCCCTGATGACTATGTCTCGAGTCCTTGGCTATAGTACCTTCGCCCCCGCCCGCGTGAATCATTCAAGTCTCTTCACGGTCTCCTTTCCATGGCTTCCAATTATCAGAGAGTTCCTTCTTTCCCTGTTTTTTCAGCAAAACTATTTGGTCGAATAACTGCCAAATAACTGCCGAATAACTGCCATTATTCAACTTCCGCCATTAGCTGAGGGCCCTCAGTAGACCCTCTTCTGTACGAGCTTCAAGGTCATTCAACCGTTTCGCAACATACATCTGTAGCCTTTCTACTAGCCCTTCTAAACCATCCTCTTCCCTTGCCAGTTCCGTTTTAGCGTCTACTTCCGGAACTTCCTCTGATCGTCCTCTGGACCCCGTCATTATTGAACCACTGGAACGCTCCATCGAATACCACTGAGGGTCTAAAGATTTCTGTATGGGCGTCTGATGATTGTTCGAGTCGTCGATCTTTTCGGTGGAGCTACTCTGAGGAGGCTCTATGTGCGGAGAGTATCGCACACAAATACCTGTCCCGCAAGGTGATCCTGAAGGTTTTTCCATTGTTGTTGACCTCTCCCTTCGTCCCGATGTCACTACCACTTCGCTGGTTTTGGTACTGCACTCCTTTGCACGACTTCGCGCGACGCGTTTGTTTCCTTCGTGCCATTTATCGCTTTTTCCTCTTCCCTGGGGGTAGTTACTCCCGGTATCTCAGCCCAAAAATTATTCTTCTCCTGACGTTGTAGTCAAATTTTAAATATGTGTAAGATATATTGTGCACTATATTTTGTGTACAAAAATAACTACACTCATTATTTTTGTGTACGTTTTTCGGATATCTGTGTACAACTAAAATACATTTTCCATGTGAAGAATAAAAATGTCCACAACTTTTCCTCTTGTGTGCACAATATTTACGCAGAGGATTTTTCATTTCTCAGAGTGGAACTTTTTGTTTTACTCAATCCATCATATGTGCAGAAATAAATGATACTGCGTACAAATGAAAGATTCAATATTTTGTCACTAAATTTTATGTGCACATTAGAAAATGTCATGTGTACATCTTATTTGATTTGAACGTGTGTGCACGAAACTAAATGTGTACAATTCTTAAGTGCATGAATCATACCCTGCCAAATCAATGCGATAATAAGTAACTATTGGAAAAAAATTTCAAGAGTCCTTTCTCGATGAGAAATTATTAAGATAGTCTTCTCTGCCCCCATTTCATCGAGTAAAAAATGTCACTCCACCACTGATAGTATTCTATCTGAACAATTATCCCCACAACAATCGATCTTAACGTCACTTTTCACGTAAACCGTCAAGACAAGGAACGTAGGACAATTTTTTCCTCAACCGACTATACGTATAAGGAATTAGAGAATATTATCGGTTTTGAGCAGCCTCTAACGTCAGGATATTCGCCTGTTTCAAGACCGTTCTTCTCGTACAAGCAATATAGCACCACGCGCGGATTTGTCGATCTGTGCTGAGCACCTCGTGCGCCAACCGAGCGCCAATATAAATATGAAGATGAATAGAAATTGACTCAATTTTTTGATCAATGATTTCTATTGTTTTTTTCAAACATGGATGGAAATAGAGAGAAAACAGCTTGATAATTTTTCCTAATATGAAGGATTTCGTTTTCGAATATACATATTCTCCATATATTCTTCGTCAATTTAAATCAATTCATCCAGTCATTATCAATTCAGTAATTGACTAATAAAATCATGAATAATGAAATATATTCAGACAGGAGATTTGTCTGAAATTTTTGTGTTTGAATGGAGTCAGCTGTTTGGCACAGAGAATATGTCTGAAGAGTCAAATGTCTGAATCACTTCTAACGAACTGAATTTCAGACGCAAAAACTGTCGGAAAATAAATGTGTGAAATTTTTCAGACAAAAAATATTTTTGAAGCGTTTCCAGATACAAATTGTATCTGAAATTTTCAAACATCTAGACCATTTTGAGACACTTATGATAATTCAGATGTCTTTTCTCTATCTGACATCTGAAATTCCGATGAGTGTCAAACACACTGTTTTTGCAGCGTTTTCCTCTCTCGTGTGACCCTTGTCATCGCTCCCCTGATCTTCGAAGCTTTAACGGTTCAAATCCGCGATATAATTGGATCCACGAGACAATTTCCCTACGTAATGCTTACCACTCATCTCTTTTATATACACGTTAGACATTACCTTCGATCCACCGCAAAATCTTCCTTGCATCTACGGTAAAAAATGGACCCACTGTACACCGTTCACTCATCTTATATGCACGGTAAAAAAATTACTTTATATCCACGGTGAAAATCTTCCCTATATCCACGGTAAAAATGGGCCCGATGCACACCACTGATTTACCTTATATCCACGGTAAGATTACCTTTTATCCACTGTAAAAAAATGGGCCTAACGTACTCCACTGCTTACCGTATATCCACGGTAGGAATTACCGCATATCCACGGTAAAATATACCCTATATCCACGGTAAAATTCACCGTGGACCGTGTGAATAGACACTATCAAAAACGATTCCTTGCTCAATTTGAGAAAAATTTTGAAATCTCCCTAAAAAAACAAAAACAAATACTTTCGTTGAAAAATTGCACCATGAAAAAGTTTCGTTTGGTTCTTTATGAAATACCGAAATTTTTTAAGAATCCAAAGAAATGAAAAAAAAGCCAAGTCCGGCATATTGAATGAATGGTTATAGTAGACAAATAGTTTCATCGAATAAGGATTTTTAAAAAATCTCTATGAAATGAAATATTGGTAGGAGGAACAATTTTCTTGACGCGGAGTTTTTCAACTCACTGTTTAGTATCAATCTAATCTTCTATCTTCTGATCTGCGTCAAATAGGAATTATATACAGGGTGTCCCACGACCGATCCTTTTCCTTCGAGGGTATTGAAGAGGATGCTTTTTGAAGTGGAAACTTCCCCTTCCACTTTTTGATCTCAGCACTTTTTTTTGGTCCGTCCTTTTTTTTCTTTTGGTCGGTTACTACCGATTCCAAGGGCGGATATTTATTTTTTTACAATTGTTCAAATTTTGTTTTCCTTTTTTTTCATTTTCAGTACGTTTGATACCCATATATGCACTCCCCCTTCTTGCCCGATGGCGCCCAAATCATTTTCCAAAAAGCGAAGAAAAAGTAAGTGCCCCTGCGTAACAGTGACATTTAAAAAATAAAAACGCTCAAAATGGGCTAGTATTTGTCCGTATGATACTCCCGTATTTAAGGGTTAAAGTGAGGGGGTGGAAATAAGGGTCATGAGGGTCAGAACCCCGCCTAATTCTGACTTTTTCCCACTCCCTTTTACCCTTTTACTTGAAAATTATTCAATTAACAAAACAATTAATTAAATTATCTTCACTTTCAGTACCCAGAAGGTACTGAACAAACGGGACGAAAGGTACTGAAATTCAGTACTCACTTTTTGTAGTGCAAGGATAAAGGTTACGAACAGTTTCTAGAACATAGAAACTATTTTCTAAAACTAATCCACTTTTTCTCTCTGTGTAGTTCATACACTGATGAATTTCTCAAAGATGATCTACCGTACATTCACTAATCTCACTAAAATCCGCATTATTAAACGTCAACAGTCTTCAACGATGATATCAGTTAATCTGCCTACTAATGTTGGCAATTCAATTTCATATATGAAATGTGATATTAATGTAAACCCAGAAAATTACTCATTTACTCAGAATTAGTATTATTCAGATAACCTCAAGAATTCGAAATTTTAGCATATTCTCGATGAAAGCGTTTATCTACGTTAGATAGCCATTGTAAGGAATCGTAATGAGCCGTTGATTGAATTGGCGACACAAATTACCATATTCATCGATACAATATAATTTTCGGGCGGAATGCATTTTCACTTGGGATGATCTACGAAAGTTTTCCGGTAAAACGGGAAGAAATTTACTTTATCTCTGCAACTTCTTCATTACGCATTGCATTAATTATTCTAACAGCATGAAAAGAATATTCAGAAAGCAAATGATTCGAGGAATTTCTCCCACCCGTGTCAAACGCGAGCGCTTACATATAAATGAGTTCTGGGGTTAAGGCAATTTGTGCTGGTTAATGAAGCCTCAGTTGAAAAATAACGAAGCAAAAAAAATTAGGATACTTGCTAACGTTTCAGTTACTTCACTACGTAGGGGCTACATAATTGGTCCGCAGTATATCCGTGAGTGCTACCATTCATTTTTTCTAAATTACTAACAGAAATGTTGAAAAAAATGAGATTGAAAAAGAAAAAAAAAGAAAGATTAGAGAAAAACCTGGCAAAAATCGGTAAGTGTAGGGATATAGTTTTCCCTAGTTAGGGATTACATGCAATAAGGAGAATACACTGCAGAGGGTCAACGGTCATAATACAGTGCTATATTTTCAAGCGGCGTTCTTTGCGCAGCTTCAACTTTGCCCCCTTCTCGTCTTCGTTTTCATTCAGTAATTGAAATATAACCATTTGCCCAGGATAGGATGTCATTGTCTAGTTTGTATCACTCAATTGATAGACGGAATTTCTCGATGAGGCATCGGAACGGAACCATTGAAAATTTGTTGGCATAATATTAAGAAGAAATTTAATCTGTAGAGAATCAAATATTTTAAACTGCAATAACAATGACGCCCATTACTAATCATGTGTGAGAAATAATTTAACAAGTTTTTCAGTGTCATAAACTTTGTTCTATATATATATATTATACGTGAAGCATGGATTTTAATGTTGCCTAATTTCAGTTCATTTAACGTTGATAAGAGATCATATATTGTGAAAATGTGACTATAATTTTTTAAGAATTTTTTTTTAAAGAAGTTGATGAATTGTCAATAATTGAGATCAATTTTTTACTTTCTAGGTCATCGTTGGTAGTATGTGGTTGCTAAGTTTTTTAACAATTGGATGTATTTTAGGAGCAGGTAAGCAATTAGATTGCTCTCAGACAACAGTGTTGGTCCTCTTTGAAATGATTTCATTATACTTTTAGTTTACGGTGATGATTGTATACCCCGTAAATTTGACGAAGATAGTGTTGTCTGTGTCTGTAATGCAACCTACTGTGACTCAGTTGCAATTCAAGTACCCGAAAAAGGATCATTTCGTAGCTACACATCAACTGTATCCGGGCAGAGATTGCACAGGGAGGATGGTATCTTTAAAACCTCCATGAATAATGAAATAGTTCTTCGGCTCGATTTAAAGAAAAAGTATCAAACAATACATGGTTTTGGTGGAGCATTCACGGATTCAGCTGGCTTGAATATCAATTCCTTGAGTGAAGAGACTCAACAAAAATTGATGCAGTGAGTTGCTTAATTACACTTGAAAAATTAAAGACCGTCTATCGTAAGTAGATAAAAAAAAGACTCAGTCATTAATTTCAACGCTTTAGGACGTACTTTGGACGCGATGGTAATCGATATAACCTTGGTCGAGTGACTATCGGAGGTTCGGATTTCTCTACGCGAGGTTATACACTGGACGATGTGCCCGGTGATACGACACTCTCAAATTTCTCACTTGCACCAGAAGACGAGATATATAAAATACCATATATGAAAAGAGCACTCACATTGAATCCCAAAATGAGATTCTTTGCAGCATCGTGGACGGCCCCACCCTGGATGAAGGTGAATAATCAATATACTGGATTATTTGGAAATCTCAAACTGGAGTTTTATCAGACGTATGCGAACTACTTAATCAAATTCTTAGAAATCTATAAGCAATTGGGACTACCAATGTGGGCGATGAGTCTCGGCAACGAGCCAATCGACGGTTTTATGCCATTCGTCTCAATAAATGATATGCCCTGGACCCCTCGACAACAAGCAAAGTGGTTGGTTAATAATTTAGGACCAGCACTCGAACAATCAACATCTCAGGAAACCCTACTTTTAGCTCTTGATGATCAAAGGTATCAGCTACCTTGGTGGATAGATATAATGTATAAAACGGCAGATGTTGATAAATACATATCTGGAATTGCGATCCACTGGTACGCAGATGCAATCACTCCTTCAACTCTTCTTGATATCACTCACCATAAATATCCAGATAAATTCATTCTAAATACTGAGGCGTCCTGTACTCCACTTCCTTGGGACCCTACGCCAGTTCGTTTGGGAAACTGGCATCGAGCTGAACTTTACATTCATGATATCATTGAGGTTTTTCTCTTTATGCCGTTCTCTAAAGTGTCGTCCCTTCCCGGTAGGAAACGAGGAATGGGCTAGGATTGGCCGAAGGTGGCCTAGTGTTGGCCAGAATTGGGCCACTCTCAGCCACTCCTGAGCCATTCCAGATGTCTTACTAGGTCACTGTTATGTATATTATTTTTACCATTTCGTTTTTTTTAGGATATGAATCACTGGGTGACTGGCTGGGTAGATTGGAATTTGGCATTGGATAAGTTTGGCGGGCCAAATTGGGTGAACAATCCCGTAGATTCTCCCATAATCGTCCAGCCGGAAACCGATGAGTTCTTTAAACAACCACTGTACTACTCAATTGCTCATTTCAGTAAATTTTTACCACGTGGATCAACGAGAATAGCTCTGAGTTCTCACTGTGAAATCAAATCGGTGGCATTCTTAACGCCTAATAATGAAGTTGTCATCGTTCTTTACAATCGGTGAGTGCTTCCATATAGTAGCTATTAGTTAGACAGCGTAATTTCCTCGAAAATTTGATCGGTCTTAATTATTTCGTTCTCTTGATTCATTCCTTTTTCTTATAGGGCGAAAAAGAACAAAACCTTCAGCATCATGGATCCCGAGGAGGGGGGACTGAACATTGAGATGGTCCCGAGATCCATGAAAACTATTATTTACAAACGATAATTAAATGCCGATAGAGGATCGATTTGAGTATTTGTTCAACCTTTCCATTGGAGTCAATTAATGCGGTAATGATTACACGTAGATATGAAAGATGCACCCAATTCTGACAGCCTGACGAATAATATCCGATTAAAAAAGTGATATCAATGTGTAATCAATTCGGAATATCAACTTCCCATGATCGGCGCACCTAAATTCGTTGAGTGTTTTGATGATAAAACAATTGGAAAAATTATGATGTTTCGTTCAAAATTACTTATATTAATCATTTATATGTAGGATCTTACAAATATCAGGTTTTAATTTTTTGTTACTCCTCAATGGGAGCTTTATGAGCATCATTTTTTGAAGTTCCTGACTGGCTGAAAATATTTGAAAATGACATGAAATGAGAAGAAATTAGATTTTCAAGAAATGTCTGTATGCATACGTATCGGTGTGTATGCGTGGACGTTTGTCCAGCTGTGTCAATAATTTCAAATGATCATTATGAAAAAGTTAGAATGCAGATTCTAGATCGGTAAAACTAACAATGAGACCCAAGTTTGTGCTAAATTTCAGTTCAAGCAGTTTTGCTGTTCCTGAGATCAAAAATAATTTTTTTGCAAATATCTGCGGAAACATTTGACAGATTCCATTTAGGAGCCGAGTAGCTCAGTCGGAAAGAGCACCCGACGCGTTATCAGCAGGTTACGGGTTCGATTCCGGGCCTGGAGTACACATTTTTGAAGCAGATTCTGCTGGCAAACTAATATCGAGAATCATCCTCATTTTCCTGTTATCCACACCAAAATTATCTGCAACAGCATCCCGTGACGTCACAACATATGGAATGCTACATAAATTCCTGTCTTTAGTGAACTCACTGAGTCACTGTTTGTCACTGACTCCATAACGCATTGTTTGACGGACGTCGCGATTCAAAATACATTTTTTTTGTCGCCATAACGAACTCGCAATTTTCAGCCTGTAATATCAAATATGGCTTCCGGATAGATACTGGGTGAGGGGGGCTGCAGATAATCAGTAACTCAATTGATCAGCTGATTAATTAGAAAAATATTTTTTCAATTGTTCGTTTTTCTTATTAAGTCTAAAGTTATTAACTATTGAAATCATTTTTTATGCATGGACTCTCATGGCGTTTCTTTCAAATTAGTACTAAACTATGTTATCAGTCTGGATGGTAATGCAGTTTTGTATTTTATAGGAAAATCTAGATAAAAACCTATATCTGGGAAATGTCTCCGATTCTTCATCACTTGAGATGGAAACCTCGAAAAATTCGTAGATAATCGGACTGTCATTATGAATATCCTATATGAATTTCAGATGGAAGTCATCATTTACTTTTTTCGAACGGAACACTCTAAAGTTTCAAGCACTCATATTCTCCGCCTGGATATCCTGGATTTTTTTTTGGTCATGGCACATTTTCTCACATTAACCCTTAATTTTTATTTTCATTTTCAGAGTCTTCCAGTAGGTAAAGATCGATTGAAACTTGATTTGAAAATGAATTCCATGAGAGACCGTGCCTAAGAAAAAAATTTGTTCATTTTTTTTCATCAAATTTCCTGCGATAAATTTGGCATAAGAAAAAAATTTGTTCATTTTTCTTCACCAAAACTCCTGCGATAAATTTCGCGTAATTATCAGGAATCTAAGTTCCATGTGTCCCCTCATCAGTGTATGAAATAATCCTTTCCATCCAGAGGTTCTTCGGTCTTGTGCGAGCAGCTTGTGGATGCAACGATCACCCTGATGCAAGGCAGTTCGCTCAGATTTATCGGTTAATCAGAGCATATTCAGTGACAAAACCTTCTAAAAGTAGCAATATTTCAGGAGGCGAAATATTGGAAACCTTTATTAGTTTTAAGGGTCAAACGAAAGTAGACAATTCATCAAATAAATTGAAATGGTTGGAATTATTAGACGCAGAACTCAATAACATTAAACATATCGATTTCAACATTAATACTGAGGGTAGCATGGAATCTCCAGCTTACCATCCCCTCTTGGATCACGATTACTATTTTTCAACTATTGAAATCGAACAGATGGAGATCAACGAAGAACAACCAGAGCAACCAGAGACCCAGCCTGATTTGGATCACAATTATCATATTGTGAATACCAGTGATCATGTACAAAGCTATACAGCTGGATACATAGGACGAAAAATTGGAGGATATAGCCAGTGTCAATCGTGTCTTCAGAGTACGAGATCACCTCACCCCGAGAGAAGAGATAAAGCTACTCAATTTTTATCAAAAGGGTATTTACTATATCCAAGTACGAGACTGTTTAATTTGACCAAAGCAATCGAGAAAATTGTTTTGATGGAAGTTCCCAAGAATGGTATTGAATATGATACAGTTTTGAGAATATCTGATCAGGTGCTAGAGATGATTGGAAGCGCTCTAGAATTTCCTTTGATTGGATGTAAAGAACATTGCCATGCATTGACCAGACAGGTGATGAACTTCTATGTAGTACTACATGGCCATTTCTTAGCCAAATTCTTCAAAAGATTGAATGATATCAAGAGAAAGCAAACTAAAAAATTGAGAAAAAGAGTGAAAGTCCTCTAGAGCAAGTTTCCAGGAAGATCTGGTAGTGATATTTGAATGCGAAAATACGTTGAAATGCATAATTGAATTGACTAATGACAAAAATTTAATAAAACAATTAATTTCTATATAATCATTACCATTGATTAGCTCATTTTTTGGGTTATTGCAAATATTCTAACTTGTTAATGTAAAAAACACTGAATGTATAAAGTTATGGGGTTCTGACCATTTCGTCTGGATTTCTAACACAAATATGTGAATTGCGGAACATTTTTTGTACGTCTTTTTGTTATTGAGAACGATATAGATATAAAAATACTTGAAATTTCCCTCTTGTGAGTTGCAGTAATTTATTATTGATATGTAAAAGATAATAATCTCTTATTACTTCACCAGAAATGGAACATAGATTCATATATTAAGGACTTTGGTGGTCAATTTACGAACTAATGGCGCCACCCACACAGGTTCCTTTCAATATGGCGACACCCATGATTGAGAAAATATAACCTATTGTGAACATTGAAAAAAGAGTGTACGCTAGGATCCAGGAGATAAATTAAAAGGCAGTCAAAATGGTTTTGGTTTGCTCTTTCCCTGGTTGCAAACGTAAATCTAAGTTTAAAGTCCCATGGAAATATCCGGAAATCCGTCAAAAGTGGTGAGATTTCATGGGTATTCAAGATTTGAATCCTAACTCGTGAAAAGGTTTATGTGAGGCTCATTGTAGTCCAGATCAATTCATCATCGAAAGTCATTCTACATGTAAATGACGTTACTCCATTGTCTCACATGGAATCATGGTTAAATAGATAGAAATGAACGTAGCAACTTTTTTCAGGGATCAAGTCAACTAAAGCATTACTGAAGTTCAATGCCGTTCCCACCATTCCAGTTCCAGAGACAATCGAGCCAATGAGAGGTTTGTTACATATCTGGAAATAGGAATAAAAGATGGTTCATTTTTAATTTGCATTTATTTCTGATAGGTCTAGCGACAACTGTGCCAAACTATTTACACATTAATAATTCTCTCCCTCTCTCTGACAGTCCTGGGAAACGTGGTCGACCAAAATCCTTGGATTCGGAAGATGTCACTGATAAAATTAAAAAAATTTGTGGAAGTCATCCAGTGGATGAACTTGGAAACATTGATGTTACTGAGCTGATTGGAGATCGAAGGTCTGAAGAATTTCAAGGCATACGTGAAGGACATGGCAACGAAATAGCTGAGGACCATGAGGATATTTGTGAAAAGAAGACAAATTCAGACGAAGAGTCGAAAGACAGTTACCGATCACTTGAAGAGCTGGAACAGCTAGAGGAGTTGGAAGAGTTGAGAGGAGCACATAGTCGAGAGACACAGACGCACCCAATGTCGAGTGAGACCAGATAGGGTGATAGCGTGAGAAGACGGCAGTGTCGATTTCTTGACTGGGTCGGTCAAGTCGGCAGCCTTTGCGTGGGAGAATGTCGCTGAATTTGAAATGTTATAATCAGAGCCCGGAACTTTGCATGATTACGATCGTCAATNATTTCCCTCTTGTGAGTTGCAGTAATTTATTATTGATATGTAAAAGATAATAATCTCTTATTACTTCACCAGAAATGGAACATAGATTCATATATTAAGGACTTTGGTGGTCAATTTACGAACTAATGGCGCCACCCACACAGGTTCCTTTCAATATGGCGACACCCATGATTGAGAAAATATAACCTATTGTGAACATTGAAAAAAGAGTGTACGCTAGGATCCAGGAGATAAATTAAAAGGCAGTCAAAATGGTTTTGGTTTGCTCTTTCCCTGGTTGCAAACGTAAATCTAAGTTTAAAGTCCCATGGAAATATCCGGAAATCCGTCAAAAGTGGTGAGATTTCATGGGTATTCAAGATTTGAATCCTAACTCGTGAAAAGGTTTATGTGAGGCTCATTGTAGTCCAGATCAATTCATCATCGAAAGTCATTCTACATGTAAATGACGTTACTCCATTGTCTCACATGGAATCATGGTTAAATAGATAGAAATGAACGTAGCAACTTTTTTCAGGGATCAAGTCAACTAAAGCATTACTGAAGTTCAATGCCGTTCCCACCATTCCAGTTCCAGAGACAATCGAGCCAATGAGAGGTTTGTTACATATCTGGAAATAGGAATAAAAGATGGTTCATTTTTAATTTGCATTTATTTCTGATAGGTCTAGCGACAACTGTGCCAAACTATTTACACATTAATAATTCTCTCCCTCTCTCTGACAGTCCTGGGAAACGTGGTCGACCAAAATCCTTGGATTCGGAAGATGTCACTGATAAAATTAAAAAAATTTGTGGAAGTCATCCAGTGGATGAACTTGGAAACATTGATGTTACTGAGCTGATTGGAGATCGAAGGTCTGAAGAATTTCAAGGCATACGTGAAGGACATGGCAACGAAATAGCTGAGGACCATGAGGATATTTGTGAAAAGAAGACAAATTCAGACGAAGAGTCGAAAGACAGTTACCGATCACTTGAAGAGCTGGAACAGCTAGAGGAGTTGGAAGAGTTGAGAGGAGCACATAGTCGAGAGACACAGACGCACCCAATGTCGAGTGAGACCAGATAGGGTGATAGCGTGAGAAGACGGCAGTGTCGATTTCTTGACTGGGTCGGTCAAGTCGGCAGCCTTTGCGTGGGAGAATGTCGCTGAATTTGAAATGTTATAATCAGAGCCCGGAACTTTGCATGATTACGATCGTCAATAACAATTGAATGATTGTTAATAACAATGGTAATCACATGAAGTTCGGGGCCGTGGTAATAAAATAAATACTACTATTTCGAATGTTCCCTATGACCCTTATCTATGACCGTCATTCTGATTATTATTCTTTACCCTCATCATTATGGCCCTTATTTTCGACACTCATTGTAACTAGTATTTTTGACCCTCATTATCACCCATATTTTTAACCCTCATTTCTGACCCTTATTTTTGACACTGACCCTTATTTTTTTTTATTCTGACCCTTATTTTTTACCCTCACTCTAATCATTATTTGTGACCTTTATTATAAATCTTATTTTTGACCCTTACCCTGACGCCCATTTTTGACTCTCACCCTGACCATTATTTTTTAGCCTCATCCTGACCCTTATTTTTGATCCTCATTCTAATTAGTATTTTTGACCCGAATTCTGACTATTATGTTTGAGCCTCATTATGAACCTCATTATGAACCTTATTTTTAACCCTCTCTCTGACCCTTATTTTTTACCCCCATCCTGACCCTCATTTTTTACCCTTGTTATGACTTTCATTTTCGACCCTCATTCCAACCAGTATTTTTAAACCCCATTCTGACTAGTATTTTTGACCATCATTATGAACCTCATTATGACCGTTATTTTTTACCCTCTCTCTGATCCTTCTTTTTGACCCTCGTTCGGAACCTTATTTTTGACACTCATTGTAACTAGCATTTTTTACCCTCATTATGACCCATATTTTTAACCCTCATTTCTGACCCTTAGTTTTGACCCTCACTCTGACCATTATTTGTGACCCTTATTATAAACCTTATTTTTGAGCCTCACACTGACAACTATTTTTGAGCCTCACACTGACAACTATTTTTGACCCTCATTCCAGACCCTCATTCTGACTAGTATTTTTGACCCTCATTATGAACCTTATTTTTTATCCTTACCCTGACCATTATTTTTTAGCCTCACCCTGACCCTCATTCTGACCGTTATTTTTGACCCTCATTCTAATTAGTATTTTTGACCCGAATTCTGACTATTATGTTTTATCCTCATTGTGAACCTTATTATGAGCCTTATTTTTAACCCTCTCTCTGACCCTTATTTTTACCCCCATCCTGATCCTTTTTTTGACACTCATCCTGACCCTTATTGTGAACCTTATTTTTGACCCTCATGCTGGCCCTCATTTTTAACCCTTATTATGACTTTTATTTTTGACCCTCATTCTAACCAGTATTTTTGAACCTCATTCTGACTAGTATTTTTGACCATCATTATGACCTTTATTTTTGACCCTCATTCTGACTAGTATTTTTCACCCTCATTATGAGCCTAATTGGTGAACCGAATTCTGACTACTATCATTGACCCTCATTATGAACCTCGTTATGACCGTTCTTTTTGACCCTCTATCTGACCCTTATTTTCGACCCTCGTTCAGACCCTTATCTTTGACCCCCATTATGAAGCTTATTTTTGACCCTCACTCTGACTACTATTTTTGACCCTCATTCAGACCCTTATTTTTGCACCACATTAGGACACTAATTTTTTATCCTCATTCGGCCCCTCATTTTTGACCCTACTTGTAACTTTTATTTTTGACATTCATCCTAACCCTTATTATTGACCCTCACTCAGACCATTATTTGTGACCCTCATCCTGACCCTTATTATGAACCTTATTTTTGAGCCTTACTCTGACTACTATTTTTGACTCTCATTCTAACCTTTATTTTTAACCCTCATCCTGACCCTTATTGTGAACCTTATTTTCGAGCCTCATTACCGATCTGCAAAAAGTTCTACTTTTCGCACGAAGAAAACCATTTACACATGGTTTTTATCGTTACGCACCCCGCGAAAAAAAAAATATCCCCCTGGAGTCCGGGATTGGTTAATTTCGTTGAAATTAAGACATATCATAACTTCTTCAAGTATTTAAATCTTTAATGCCACTTAAAATATCACACATCTTTCTTCATAATGGTCTCCTGTACTCAGCAATACCCGCTGATGCCCAACTCGTCAGGTTAGCCTCCGCCTTCGAAGAGAAAAAATCCTTCCTCCGCTCCTTCGTCGGCGGCCTTATGGCCAATTGTTCACCACTTATGTTTTTGTTTTTCACTTTCTCATTCTCTCCATTTTCCATTATCCAAAGGACCGGATATCCCCTATCAATTTGTCTAATGACTCGCCTAACGATAGCTAAAAATATAAAAACAATTCAGTTGTCATTTGCATCATTATTGTTAAATGTCACTTGTGGAAACGACTTAGTGTGTGTAAAGCGGTTGTTTTCAGCACGGTGTGCGTGAAGTACAGTAAAAAACAACCACTTTACCCCCACTATCGTTCCGAAAAGTGCACTCGGCAGGTATCACCAAAAGCTAGATATTTTATCACAAGACATCTTTGGCTTCCGGATGGATACCGCGTTTGGATTCAGCGTTGACCCTTACCGTCAATCCTTCCGATTCGGAGCTCATAGCCCTGAAGATGCAGACAGCAATGTTTGCGAAACGTCGGCGCAACGCTGAATCCAAACGCGGCATCCATCCGGAAGCCAAAGATGTCATTAATCATGGCCGCGAAAGCCTCAAAACTAAGATTTTGTCACAAGACCCAAAATTTTTTTTTTCACAAACCTGCACCGAAAGTTCGTACTTTGCTCCCTGATGAGCGGGAGGAAAGTGAGTACTTCCCGCCCTCGGGTGGAAAGTACTCCATTTCCTCCCGCTCAGTAGACAGCAAAATACAAACTTTCCTTTGCAGGCGCTTCACGGGAGGGAAATGTAACTTTGCACCTGCAACGAGACGGAAAATTGCGTTCTTACCACGGGAAGTAAAATATACTAATGTGCACCTTGGGCGGGAAAACATGACTTTCCGCCTTTAATGCACAATATACTAATTCTGACGAGTGTGTAGACCGAGGCGAAGCCGAGGAATGCAACCACACGAGTCAGAAATTTTTTCATTTTTTTCTCGAGCTCCAAAGCTAATTTTACCTCACATAGGCTGTGAACGTCATTTTACGGACAGTGTCACGAAAAATAGCACGTGTTACACGTGCGTGCGAAAAAGTGGTTCTTTACGCACTAGTAACACGATATGCCAAATTTCTTGCTGTAACAAGCATCATGGCTTGCGAAATAGAAAACACCTACCCGTGTGTTGACAATGCCAATTATTACTATCTCCAATCGGTGTACCAGGGCTGTAATCACGGGTGAGTGATTACATTTTATAATTATGGTATCAGTGAATTCTAATTTCAATAGGCCCTTTGAGGTAATTTTATATAGTTGTATGAAAGAAATATACCTCTCAGATCCTCGAGAAATGTGGGTTGGAGTACTTCGTCACCCTCGAATCGACATCGAACAAGTGACGGAGACGGAGCATCTGGCGAGATCAATGCCAACGCCATGTTCTTGACGACAGCTTGCAGGGTTTTGGCTTTCTTAGCCCTTGTATAAAATTTTTCCTAAAGCTGCCAAGATTTTGCTTCTTCGCCGATACCCCTTGTCAGCATAACCTGTCAATATTCGAGTACTTAAAAATATACTGAATTATAGTAATCGATAGTAATTACTCCGAAAATTACATCAGAATTTTATTGGGATTAAAAATGAAATCGAATTCATATATATAATTTACAATGCCCATTCGGAATTCCTCCAGTAACTGAAAAGTCTTTTGACAAAAAATACTCATTGTGAAGGAAAAAAAATTTGCTCGAGTAAATTACATAATACAGCTGAGATTAGGAATTTCCAATTCCTAACTGAAAAAGGAATTTCGTAATCGTCATTTTCAGATTATAAAATGGTAGAGTAACTGCAATATTCGATTCCAAAATTACAAATTATTCGAGTAATTCTCAGATAATAATTCGGATTACTCATTCAATTTTGTAATCTGACAAATTTAAATTCTCGTGAGTTGTGAGAAAAGGACGTATAGACATTAGTTTCTAGATTTTAGAAACTCCTGTTCTTAAACTTTATCCTTGATGGGATCATGAAAACTAATAAATTCGGGGATTGTTTTTAGAAACAAATATTTTCTAAAACCAATACTGAATTTTTCTCAATTTTAGAAAATTTGCAGATTGAACTAAAAAATTGCAACCGAAGTATTTAAAGGGCGTAAGTGCCTCATACATTCGGAGGGGTGCCCAAATATCGGGAATTTCAGATGTGAGGAGGAGTGATTTTGCAAAGAGGGAGAGGGGGGAGGAGATTGTGCATTGAGAAATCACAATCGATTAAAATTGAGTTGGTGAGTTTTTTCAAAATATCTCCGAAACTAAAGGAGACCGCGAATTTTTACGAAAATTTGGGGGGGGGAGGTGCATTGAGAATTCACAACCAAGAAAATTGAGTCGATAGATTTTTCAAAAATATCTTCAAAATTAAGGGAGATGGCGAATTTTTACTGAAAATTTGGGGCGGGAGGGGGGTAGGAAGTTTTATTGAATTCTCCATGTACAACTGTTACGTCTTGATTTCCCAGGAAAAATATTCAATTATAATTTCAAGATACGCGACAGCGTATCGGCCAAGTTGACGTTTTACCGGTGTGACGTCATAGATCGATGCTGCTGCGTATAATATACACGACACAACTACTCCCCGAATGGTTCTTATTTTTTTTTCTCGTAACACGAGAATTTCTCGCAAAATCCGTCCTTAGTTACATTATATAAGTTGACTATGAACTTTCTAAAGATATTTTTACTTTCTCGATAAATCAATAATAAATAAAAATATCCGCCATAGCTACCATCATAATGTAATATTTCGCGATTTTATTTTCTCTCAGCGTTAGATTTGTTCGTCAAAGTTGGCAACGAACATAATGTCTGTTTCTCTCTCTTTCTCTCTCTTCTTCCCTTTTTCCCGGCTGTTACCGGTAGTGTTGGCAGCATGAAGAATAGAGACCAGGAGGCCGAACTAGCGTTTTCTGATCCGAGACCATACTCGGGGTAATGAAGTTGTTATAGGTGGTGCTTCAATCGCTTTTCTGAATGGCAGTAGTGGGGGAATGCTGCCTTTGTAGTGTGTAGGTGTATGAAAATAACGTACTGAATAATTCCTGGCCTTTAAATGTTTATTCATTTTTATACGAACTACTTTGTTGAGTGATTGAATATCGCAAAAAATTGATTACATGTAGGCAATGACTTCCACGGAAGGGGGAAGCATTTTCTGTACAAGTCAACTATAAAAACTGAGATGTCTGACGTATTTCTAGGTTAGTGTTGATTATCGTAAATAAAATGTTGAATACTCATAAGTTGAAAACAATGTAATCATGATATTTGTCTGTTATTTCCTTAGTTGCATTCTGGAGAGCCCACTAGAATGTCAGTCAGTGATATCAGTCAGTCTAATGATATCAATCAAAAAGAGATCCATCATACCAGGAGCATAATTGAATCGACATCAATCGCCTAGGATTTCGGGTGATTTTTACAATTGTACATAAAATTTTTTATAAATGATAAATAAGANTTAAAAATTCATTTTTCCTCTCCCAATTAAGATGGAGAGATGAAACCAACGGCATTCGATTGAGGATTAAATACTCAATCGACCGACATCAGTTCCATCCCTCCATCCTTCACGGGGGAGTGGAAAACTCGCGTTGAAAGTCACGACGGCGCAGAAGAAAACGATACAGTTTTCAAGCGCTGAGAGGCTCCGCAATATTTGCACCCAATTAAAAATTAGTTTTTCTTCTCCTAATGAAGATGGAGAGATGGAACGGACACCAATCGATTGATAATTGAATTCTCAATAAATGACAACNGCGTTCAACGAAACGATATAGTTTTCAAGCGCCGAGTGGCCCCGCAATATTTGCGCTCAATTAAAAATTCATTTTTCCTCTCCCAAATAAGATGGAGAGATGAAACCAACCGCATTCGATTGAGGATTAAATACTCAATCGACCGACACCAATTCTATCCCTCCATCCTCCATGGAGGAGTGGAAAACTCGCGTTGAAAGTCACGACGGCGCAGAAGACAACGATACAGTTTTCAAGCGCTGTGAGGCTCCGCAATATTTGCACCCAATTAAAAATTAATTTCTCTTCTCCTAATGAAGATGGAGAGATGGAACGAATGCCAATTGATTGAGAATTGAATTCTCAATAAATGGCAACGGTTTCATTCCTTCATCTCAATTAGGGGAGGGGGGGAGAAATGAATTTTTAAATCGGTGGAGCCCCTCCGGCCTCATTCGACGCCGGAGAACCGTTTGAGGTTACTTCGCACTTTTGAAAATTCATTCCTCCGCTCCTAATTGAGATTAAGCAATGAAACCGCTGTCATTCAGTGAGAATATAATTCTCGATCGATTGGCGTTAGTTTCATTCCTTCATCTCAATTAGGGGAGGAGAAATCAATTTTCAAATCGGTGGAGCCCCTCCAGCCCACTCGACGCCGAAGAATCGTTCGGGGTGACTCCACGCTTTTGAAAATTGATTCCGCCGCTCCTAATTGAGATTAAGAAATGAAACCGGTATCCATTGATTGAGAATTCCATTCTCAATCGATTGGCGTTCGTTCCATCTCTCCATCTTCATTAGGAGAAGAGAAATTAATTTTTAATTGGGTGCAAATATTGCGGAGCCTCTCAGCGCTTGAAAACTGTATCATTTTCTTCTGTGCAGTCGTGACTTTCACCGCGAGTTTTCCACTCCCCCATAGAGGATGGAGGGATGGAACTGGTGTTCGTCGATTGAGTATTTAATCCTCAATCGAATGCCGCTGGTTTCATCTCTCCATCGTAATTGGGAGAGGAAAAATGAATTTTTAATTGAGCGCAAATATTGCGGGGCCACTCAGCGCTTGAAAACTATATCGTTTCCTTGAACGCCATTGTAACTTTCATCTCACAGCATTCCCAGCCCACCGATTCCTCCCCTGACGTGATTTCTATCCCCACTCTACCTCTGCTCACTTTACGCCGTTATCGACACTCTCAGACTCGTGCCCTGCCTTATTCACAGGTACAGCCGGAAAATTAGTTCATACGCCACCGCTACGAAATTTTGCGGCTGAAGCGTCTCCATAGGCGCTGGCAATCTCTTCTATAATCTCTGTTGGCAGCATTATTAGCTTCCCGCGCAATCTCCCCCTCTTATTATGTTAATAGTGCTATACTGCATTGTGCTACTCATTGCGATCACTATGCTTGCTTATTAAGAGATAACAAAAATGATTGGATATACATTGATGATGCCGTTATTTCACAAATTCGATGGCCGCTGAACGCTAAAGATGTGTATATATTATTTTTGGAGAAAAAGAATGAAAATTCGAAGAAAAATTAATTTTGGTGAAACTGCAGAAACGTATTGTTTTCCTTCACAAGAATGCCATGTGTAATATATTTGGTTCATTTAACATAGATGATTTTGAGTTGCTGAATGTGGTGAACCTATGTTAGGTATATATACCAAAATTCTATTTGAAGAAAGTCGGGTTCAATCCTTAAGTCCCTAAGAAATATATATGTTGAAGAAATCGATGAAAGTTGGTGTATGTGTCTAAAATCTGACTCAGACCCTTCACGACTGGTAGACACCTGAGTACCTTTGAGGGAAACCAATCTGAGCAGTCATAAGTCGCTTTAAAATTTTTTTATGCGATTCAAACATTTAAAGACTATTATGGATGATTTTATTCCGACGTAATTCGAAATAAAATATAGAGAGCTAAGAAATTGAGGAGAAACTCTATTAATGGATAATTGTTTTAGTTATCCATATTATTTTACAAAAGATTGTTATGCTTTGCAAAAATGAGTGAAATCCTATAAAAAAATCATAAAAAAATTGTTGTGAAAAAATTTTGCCAAGTTGACGTTTTATTGCCTGATCCTATTTTCCAAAAAAATATCCTCTTTTATTCACAAAAAAATACTTGAAATAAAAAATACGCCAAGCACGTCGTTCACAAATCATATTGACTAGAGGGACCTGATATCTCAAGTGAATGAATCCAGTAACATATATGAATGGAAAGGTCGCCATTGGAGACGCTAAATAATAAAACGCCCTCTACAAATTGCCGGCTTGAGAATATACATAGATGATACATACGCTCATATGTCCATGTGTGAGCAGACTTTTATGTATCTGTAAGCACTCCTAAATTGGCCATCTTGAAAAAACTAGCGCCACCAACGGTAACTAGTGTCGCCAATTGCCAATTCGATTTTCAGAAAAAAGTCCACTTGGCGCGCCCGGTTTTGGTGTAAGTCAATTACACTGGGCACTTTCCATCATAGGGTACTGTCTAACACAGTGCCAAAAAGGAGAACTGTGATTGATCAAAGACATATCTTAGTTAACACTGTGTCACTCTGTGGCCCTTGATGGAAAGTATCGATTGTTACCGATCAATTCATTAGGATAGAACGCCTCAGTACTTCATCAGTGGATTGCAACATTACTCAACCGGAGTATTCAAAATCTCTATTGATTCAAATGAATATGGTATTAAAGATTTACATAATTTCCAGTTGATTCCTCGATCGACCGTTGAATCGGGATAATCTACAATCGAATGTTTTTCAAGTAACTATGTCACCAAACTTTGATTTAATTTCGGAGAGTGTACAATATTTTCCCCGAAATTTGTTTATTGCTTTCTAGAAATGAACTTCCATACCCATCTATCAACTACTTAATTACATATAATTTTTATTTTCTGAAGTATACACAAAAAACCGGGCGCGCCAAGTGGACTTTTTTCTGAAAATCGAATTGGCAATTGGCGACGCTAGTTACCGTTG